CACGGGACTTAGAACAACAACAACAACAACAACAAACAACAAAAGAACAGTGCATATCAACGAATTGAAACGAGAAAAACAAACAAACAAACAAACTGCCTTTGGACTACTAACGCTCCCATCTGCGAAAATGACAACGAAACGGCAAAAGGCCTTCTGTACCTTCTGCATCGCCGTCTGGAGTATAGGATGGACGACCCTCTCTGCGCCAGCCAATTCCACTCCTTCGTCAGGTAGGTCTTGGTGGGTTTTAGTGTGAATCTCTGGTTTTGTGAGAGGCAGGAAGGGAGAGAGAGAGAGAGAGAGACAGGGAGATGGGGAGGAATAGAGGGAGGACGAAGAGGAAGAGAGAGAGAGGAAGAGAGAGAGAGGAAGAGAGAGAGAGGAAGAGAGAGAGAGGAAAGAGAGAGAGAGGAAGAGAGAGAGAGAGGGAAGAGAGAGAGAGAGGGAGAGAGAGAGAGAGGAGAGAGAGGAGAGGAGAGAGAGAGAGAGGAAGAGAGAGAGAGGAAGAGAGAGAGAGGAAGAGAGAGAGAGAAGAGAGAGAGAGGAAGAGAGAGAGAGAGGAAGAGAGAGAGAGAGGGAAGAGAGAGAGAGGGAGAGAGAGAGAGGGAGAGAGAGAGAGAGGAAGAGAGGGAGAGGAAGAGAGAGAGAGGAGAGAGAGGGAGAGTGAGAGAAGAAGAGAGAGAGAAGAAGAGAGAGAGAGAGGGAAAGAGAGAGAGGCAGAGAGAGAGAGGGAGAGAGAGAGAGAGGAAGAGAGGGAGAGGAAGAGAGAGAGAGGAAGAGAGAGAGAGAAAGAGAGAGAGAGAAAGAGGGAGAGAGAGGGAGAGAGAGAGAGGGAGAGAGAGAGAGGGAGAGAGAGAGAGGAAGAGAGGGAGAGGAAGAGAGGGAGAGGAAGAAAGAGAGAGGAAGAGAGAGAGAAAGAGAGAGAGAGGGAGAGTGAGAGAAGAAGAGAGAGAGAAAAAGAGAGAGAGAAAATGAGAGAGAGAGAGAGAATTATCGTCATTGTTATCATTTACTACTATTATTATTATCATTATCATCATTATCACTGTTATTATTATCAGCATTATTATTGAAGTTATCATTATCTTTGTTATTATTGATGTTATTATTATTAATATTTATCTGCATTATTACCATCATCATCACTATTACTGTTATTATTATCAGCATTATTATTAATGTTATTGCTATTATCCTTGTCATAGTCATCATTATCTGCCCTACCGCTTACAAATTCAAAATTGAAATTCAAATCCCCCCCTCCCCCCCTACCGTTATTAACGACTACAAAAAAAAAAAAAAAAATTCAAATTCATTTTTCTTTTTCTTTAAATAAATAAATAAAGAAAATCTTCCGTAACCGTTACCAATCCAAGCAAAAATCTCCTTTCTTTATCACGCAGAAGGACAAACAAACCACGCAGAAAGCCAAGTAGATCCTTGCGCCCCGATGAAGCTGTTCGCTCACCAATCGGAAAAGGAGGAAGAAAAGTCAGTATTGCTATTCGAAGTTGAAACCGCCGGGATCTGCACGAAGCCGAAATGTGCCGGTACGTGAATAAGGGGAAAAGAGGGAGGGTTGGAGGGAAGGTGGGAGGGTTGGAGGGAAGGGAGGAGGGAGGAGGGAGGGAGGGTAGGAGGGAAGGAGGGAGGGTGGAGGGAGGGAAGGAGGGTGGAGGGAGGGAAGGAGGGAGGGTTGGAGGGAAGGAGGGGGGTTGGAGGGAAGGAGGGAGGGTTGGAGGGAAGGAGGGAGGAAAGGAGGGGGGTAGGAGGGTTGGAGGGAAGGAGGGGGGTTGGAGGGAAGGAGGGGGGTTGGAGGGAAGGAGGGAGGAAAGGAAGGGGGTAGGAGGGAAGGAGGGTTGGAGGGAGGGTTGGAGGGAAGGAGGGGGGTTGGAGGGAAGGAGGGAGGAGAGGAGGGAGGGTAGGAGGAAAGGAGGGTTGGAGGGAGGGAAGGAGGGAGGGTAGGAGGGAAGGAGGGAGGGAAGGAGGGGGGGTTGGAGGGAAGGAGGGAGGGTAGGAGGGAAGGAGGGGGGGTTGGAGGGAAGGAGGGAGGGTAGGAGGGAAGGAGGGGGGGTTGGAGGGAAGGAGGGAGGGAAGGAGGGGGGGTTGGAGGGAAGGAGGGAGGGTTGGAGGGAGGGAAGGAGGGTTGGAGGGAGGGAAGGAGGGAGGGTTGGAGGGAAGGAGGGGGGGTTGGAGGGAAGGAGGGAGGGTTGGAGGGAAGGAGGGAGGAAAGGAGGGGGGTAGGAGGGTTGGAGGGAAGGAGGGGGGTTGGAGGGAAGGAGGGGGGTTGGAGGGAAGGAGGGAGGAAAGGAAGGGGGTAGGAGGGAAGGAGGGTTGGAGGGAGGGTTGGAGGGAAGGAGGGGGGTTGGAGGGAAGGAGGGAGGAGAGGAGGGAGGGTAGGAGGAAAGGAGGGTTGGAGGGAGGGAAGGAGGGAGGGTAGGAGGGAAGGAGGGAGGGAAGGAGGGGGGGTTGGAGGGAAGGAGGGAGGGTAGGAGGGAAGGAGGGGGGGTTGGAGGGAAGGAGGGAGGGTAGGAGGGAAGGAGGGGGGGTTGGAGGGAAGGAGGGAGGGAAGGAGGGGGGGTTGGAGGGAAGGAGGGAGGGTTGGAGGGAGGGAAGGAGGGTTGGAGGGAGGGAAGGAGGGAGGGTTGGAGGGAAGGAGGGGGGGTTGGAGGGAAGGAGGGAGGGTTGGAGGGAAGGAGGGAGGAAAGGAGGGGGGTAGGAGGGTTGGAGGGAAGGAGGGGGGTTGGAGGGAAGGAGGGGGGTTGGAGGGAAGGAGGGAGGAAAGGAAGGGGGTAGGAGGGAAGGAGGGTTGGAGGGAGGGTTGGAGGGAAGGAGGGAGGAGAGGAGGGAGGGTAGGAGGAAAGGAGGGTTGGAGGGAGGGTAGGAGGGAAGGAGGGAGGGTAGGAGGGAAGGAGGGAGGGAAGGAGGGGGGGTTGGAGGGAAGGAGGGAGGGTAGGAGGGAAGGAGGGGGGGTTGGAGGGAAGGAGGGAGGGTAGGAGGGAAGGAGGGAGGGTAGGAGGGAAGGAGGGTGGGTTGGAGGGAAGGAGGGAGGCGAGGAGGGAAGGAGGGAAGGAGGGAGGGTGGGAGGGAGGGGAGGAGGGAAGGAGGGAAGGAGGGAGGGTAGGAGGGAAGGAGGGAGGGTTGGAGGGAAGGAGGGAGGGGAGGAGGGAGGGTTGGAGGGGAGGAGGGAAGGAGGGAGGGTAGGAGGGAGGGGAGGAGGGAAGGAGGGAGGGTCGGAGGGAGGGTAGGAGGGAGGGGAGGAGGGAGGGTTGGAGGGAAGGAGGGAGGGTTGGAGGGAGGGGAGGAGGGAAGGAGGGAGTGTTGGAGGGAGGGGAGGAGGGAAGGAGGAAGGGAAGGAGGGAGGGAAGGAGGGAGGGAAGGAGGAGGGAAGGAGGGAGGGTAGGAGAGAAGGAGGAGGGAAAGAGGAGGGAAGGAGGGAGGGAAGGAGGAGGGAAGGAGGGAGGGTAGGAGAGAAGGAGGAGGGAAAGAGGAGGGAAGGAGGGAGGGTAGGAGAGAAGGAGGAGGGAAGGAGGGAGGGAAGGAGGGAGGGAAGGAGGGAGGGTAGGAGAGAAGGAGGGAGGGAAAGAGGAGGGAAGGAGGGAGGGAAGGAGGAGGGAAGGAGGGAGGATAGGAGAGAAGGAGGGAGGGGAGGAGGGAAGGAGGGAGGCGAGGAGGGAAGGAGGGAGGGAAGGAGGGAGGGAAGGAGGGAGGGAAGGAGGAGGGAAAGAGGGAGGGGAGGAGGAGGGAAGGAGGAGGGAAGGAGGGAGGGAAGGAGGGAGGGAAGGAGGAGGGAAGGAGGGAGGGTAGGAGAGAAGGAGGAGGGAAAGAGGAGGGAAGGAGGAGGGAAGGAGGAGGGAAGGAGGGAGGGTAGGAGAGAAGGAGGAGGGAAGGAGGGAGGGAAGGAGGAGGGAAGGAGGGAGGGAAGGAGGGAGGGTAGGAGAGAAGGAGGGAGGGAAGGAGGGAGGGAAGGAGGGAAGGAGGGAGGCGAGGAGGGAAGGAGGAGGGAAAGAGGAGGGAAGGAGGGAGGGAAAGAGGGAGGGAAGGAGGGAGGGGAGGAGGGAAGGAGGGAGGGAAAGAGGGAGGGAAGGAGGGAGGGAAGGAGGGAGGGGAGGAGGGAGGGGAGGAGGGAAGGAGGGAGGCGAGGAGGGAAGGAGGGAGGGAAGGAGGAGGGAAGGAGGGAGGGAAGGAGGGAGGGGAGGAGGGAAGGAGGGAGGCGAGGAGGGAAGGAGGGAGGGAAGGAGGAGGGAAGGAGGGAGGGTAGGAGAGAAGGAGGGAGGGAAGGAGGGAGGGGAGGAGGGAAGGAGGAGGGAAGGAGGAGGGAAGGAGGAGGGAAGGAGGGAGGGTAGGAGAGAAGGAGGAGGGAAAGAGGAGGGAAGGAGGAGGGAAGGAGGAGGGAAGGAGGGAGGGAAGGAGGGAGGGGAGGAGGGAAGGAGGGAGGCGAGGAGGGAAGGAGGAGGGAAGGAGGAGGGAAGGAGGAGGGAAGGAGGGAGGGGAGGAGGGAAGGAGGGAGGCGAGGAGGGAAGGAGGAGGGAAAGAGGAGGGAAGGAGGGAGGGAAGGAGGGAGGGTAGGAGAGAAGGAGGGAGGGGAGGAGGGAGGGGAGGAGGGAAGGAGGGAGGGAAGGAGGAGGGAAGGAGGGAGGGAAGGAGGGAGGGTAGGAGAGAAGGAGGGAGGGAGGAGGGAGGGGAGGAGGGAAGGAGGGAGGGGAGGAGAGAAGGAGGGAGGGGAGGAGGGAAGGAGGGATTAACGAACAACTTATTTGCATATTCATTCTGTTACTTAATCATGTATTTTGTCTTCAGCATTGCCATTTTTCTCTTTTTATAAACTGACTCGTATTCTTTTCCACTGAAGGTATTTTCATCAAAATTCGGAAGTGTCATGAAACAAACGGAGGCAGCTTTACTAAAGCACAGGTAGATTATTCATATTTTATAACATTCGTTAAATGCCATATATATATATATGTATGTATATATATATATATATATATATATAT